CTCCTCCTGCTAAACAGCATATTATCTGCTACAAGTCACCCACAAAAACAAGGTAGGGTATTTATAAGTTTGTTTTTTTTTTTTACTTGGTTACCTGAATATGGCAAAGATGAGAATAATATTAATAACCCCTAAGAGAGCTCCAAATAAAACTGGTGTCGTGTACATGTTCAGCTGAAGACAAAGGAATTTCCACGTTACTCCTTCTTCTCCAATAAGTGTAAAACATGTCTGAAAAACTTAAAAACATCAATGCACTGTGAAAATCTTGAGAATCATTAAGAAAACATTAGAACACATAAGAAAAGTTTTCTCATTGCCAAGTAAAATTTAAGTATTATACCTGTCAAACCTCTTACATTTTGAGAATCCTACTCTAGATAAACAAAATGGATTCCAGGGGATCTCAGCTAGCCAGGAAAGTACTTGATTACACAAAATAAACAGTATAAATAGCATCATAACACTTATAGAACTGGATTCTGAGTGGAGCAATGGTTAATTTTCTTGGCAGACAGACAATTTACTCCTTTTTCCTCTTGCTCCTACATGGAAAACCTCGGTCCTGGGACTGGATTATCACTCATGCTAAGGGCAAACTAGAGAAAAAATATGCAGTGGGAGGGGTTTAAATTAAATTTTAAATTGGTGCAGAGCAATTAGGCAAGAATGTTTCATTTATACTGACTTACAGAAGTACAGATGAGTGGACCCCAATTACTCAGTTGTGACATCATTGACAAACTGTGCCTTAAAATCCCCTGCATACAGCTGCTGAGGATTCCTATTTCCAATGCCCAATTTCAGCCTAATAAGAGAAGTGAGGAAAGAAGATTTTGCTTTACCTGGCCCTAATATGAAGCCAACTGCTTGGCAGGCACTGGTATTGGCCATGGCACTCGTTCTTTCCGTCAGAGAAGTGGCACCCGCAATATACGATCGAACTACAGCCACATTTCCTTCAAAAAAACCCAAAATCAAGTAAGTGTTCATATAAATATCAAGTTCATATTGTTAAACTGTTGAGTGGCATTTATTTTAGGGGTTTTTTTCTTATTTTGCAAGATAATAAAACCAACATTCCCTCCAATATTTTTACACAACAGCACAATTACACTATTTTGTTACAAACCATTACGGGCCAACCCTTTGCTCTGTTAAATATTAAGTTATCATTCACATAATGGTAAATCCGGTATTAAAATGTAACATTAACCATCTTACACGAGACACAGAATGTAATAATTTCCAGAAATATAAATCCTGCTGTGTTTACCTGCTCCAAACCCCACGAGAGCACGGGCAGTCAGCATGTAGTACTTGTTGTGGGAATGGGGCACGTGGACGTAGGCATAGAGACAATTAGCAGCTACTGAAATAGCAGTGGAAATGACCAGAGGTTCTCTCCTGGGCCTGTAGTTGGACCATAAGCCAAAGAGGGGAGAGGCAACCATTTGGCCAATGCTGTATGAAGCTATAATCCAGCCCAAAAAACTCGCATCCGCTGTTGGATCAATCTGCAGGAACACATGAGTCACTGAGTAAAGCACTGGAGTGTTTTATATGGCCAGGAATACCCTTTTAGAATTAGCACCTGGCACACCAAGGACTCTGTACTGCAATGCTTTGTCTGGGGTAATAAACCTCAGTTCATTCTCCCCAGCAATGCACCAAACCAATAAAATCTGCTCTGCTTCCAAGCCTGGGAATGGCTCACTTGCAGGAAACTCCAGGAGTTTTTGTACAGCACTGCTGATGTTCTGGGCTAGAGACAGAACTTCAGCAGCATGGCAGGCACTCTCCATGCCAGGAGCAAGGAGTCACTTCCATTGTCTCTGCACATGCCTGAATCTGTCCTGATTTACAAGGCTGATAAATGCATTTTCTTGTCTTCTGCAAGAATTCAGCATCAGCCTCACTTTCAGTGACACCTCTAGGTCTCTGCCCAGGTTATAGTCTTCCAAATTTGCATTTGAAACTGCTTTCTACAGTTCCAGGGAGACTAAAATCCCAGCATAGAATAAACCTAAGTTTTAGAGACTTTTGTGCTGCTTCTAAGATCACAACTAAGAGGTAAAAAACCCCCCAAAGAAACTAAAATTACTATACAGGAACAATGGAAATCCCCTGTGAGGAATATCAAGATCTGTGTGCAACAAAGTGAATTTACAGAGCAACTTCAACCTCTGGTTTCCTCTTTTATTATTTTTTTTCCAAAACACAGACAAGTCTTGTTTACAGTGTTTTAATAACAAGACTTCTATTGATTTGCTGTCCAAGAAATCATGATATTGGAAAACCAAAGATTTCTGGATTATGATGTACCTTTATCAATGCAGGAAAAAACCTGAAAGATTTTGTAAGAAATAATAAAAGCTGTCGAAGGGGATGGCAGAATTAAAGCCTCTTAAAGCCACACACCTCCCTCAAATTTTTCTTTTCCTAAATAGAATAGTAGGCAATTTGTATTACCTATTTTCTGACCAGGAGTTTTCTATTCTTAATTATTTAAAAAAAATATATATTTACAAACCTTTTGGAGATACGGCCACACAGACATAATTACAATTGAGAAACCTGCAACACAGTAAAAACTGAAGTTATTTGCCATTTTTATCAGTAATTTTCTTTCCTGAAACAGTTATTACAAGCTCATTCTTCTGCCTCTACTCTAAATGTATTATAGTATAAACCTGTGCATTTCATGGGTTTTTTTTAAGGAGTGGTAATTCAAAAGATTATTTTATAGGTGCATACACACTAAACAAAAAACCTCCTATGCTGTCCTCCCAATGGAAAGACAACAAGGTCCCCAAAGTAAAAATAATTACTTGATATACTGATATATCTGTATTCAATAGTCAAAGAGATTTTAATTCTTAAAAAAACCAGAAGAGTTATTGATGTATCCTATCAACTTCAAGATATTTTCTAGGCCCACAGAAAAACATCCCAGGTCAAAAATCAAGAGCATTCTTGCTTCTGGGGGGAGTTATTTAGGAATAAAATTTCAATTTGTCCTGCAATGGAGATGCAACATCCAGTAGGAGAAAACAAATTTTGATACATATTTTGAAATAGACATCATGCATTCCCATAAAGATCTTACCTCTGAAGAAATCCACATTATTTCTGTTTTCATTCCCTAAAAGTTTCACTCTGGATGATAAAAGTGCAACCTTTGCTTGGTTCAGTTTTGAGCAATACCCTTACCTTGCCACTACCAAACTATTAGGGAGTCATAACCCACATTATGCAATATATCATTTTGTGTAAAACCAGTTTTATTACTTATCTCATTAGATGTAACTTTCTGATTGATTTGCTAGATTCATATATTGTCTTTTGAAGAATCAAACAATGCACCTTTTTAGAGGTTAGAACAGTAGAACTAAAGAAGCTCTGTGGCTGGAATTTAGAAAGCCCTGTCATTTTCAAACCAAAGTATATTAATTAAACAAGTAACATCAAATTCCACATGTATTTACTCACCTACACTACTGAGAAACATTGTCAGGTACATGATCCAGATGGATCGCCACCTGCTCTTATAATGTTCCTGTGTTTCCACAACATCCCTGGTTTTAAAACAAAAAGCAAGAAAGAAATCATTATCAGATCCTCTTCTACTTGCTCCCCCATGACACTGAAAACATTTTTTCACCAACCTCTCAATACAATTGTGTAGCTTGTTAAGCAGGAGTGGATTTCCGCTCAGCAAAGACTATAAAGAATTTATTTTTCGTTGGAAAAATACTAGGCTGACAAATAAAACAAAGTAACATTAATGTTATCACACACCAAACGTCACATGGAGAGATCTTGATCTAGGGAGGTCTTCAATTCTGCAAACTCTTTGTATAGACACTTTGGAGCATCACAGTTTATATAAAAGCTTTAATAAGTGGGTGTTAAACCATAAAACCCCAGACATTTCCTCACAGCTGTAACCTTAGAAGAACCACAAATCTGAACAAGTCTTGATTTGACAAAAAGCTACAGCCAGTCTGTACTTATGATGAGAAAATAACAAAATACAACGTAAAAGCTGTGTGTAAAAGATACTGTTGTAGATTGCAAGGACTGAAAATAAATTAAAATACAAGTTAAAAATTAAGTTACAAGGAAATCCCTATTCAGATTATGTAGACTCAGGTTATAGATATACAGATGCCTAAACACAGTTTATAAACTCTGTTTAAGTCGTACCTAGACTTAGGCATATCTGCGATTTTAAGTTCAAGACACTTGTTTTACTGTCACAAGGGGGAAAAAACCTCAAGCGACGAAGAGCTGCTATTAAACACCCAGACTTCTGCCCCACATTAATCCTGTCTGGCGTTTTTTAGGAGCTTCCCAAGCCAGTGGGTTTGTGTTTCCCTACAGAAGGGGAAGCAGCCGGGCCCGGGACGGTCCGGGACACGGGCTCCGAGCACCGGAGCACAGGGGCTGCGGCTCGGGCCGGGCTCCCGGCCGGGCAGCGCCCTCAGCCAGGCTCGGGCTCCCCGTGAGGGGCGGGGAAGGACCCGGCACCCACGGGTCACCTCCCGGCGCAGCCTCACAGCGGAACGAGCCCCTACCTGCTCTCTTCCTCCTCGTCCTCATCCGCCGCGGCCCCTGCGGACCCCAGCAGGGGTTCCTGCCCTTCGGGACGAGCCTCCGGAGCGGAGCCCGCGGCCGCCATGGCCCCGCAGCGCCGGGCCCCGCCCGCGCCCGCCTCACGCGCGCCGCCAGGGGGCGCCAGAGCACGCGCGCTACCGTCGCTGCCCGCCTCTGGGGCGCGAGCCGCGAAGGGGCGGGGCAAGGAGGGGCGGGGTCACGCGCGCGGAGGGGCGGGGCGGGGCGGGGCCGGTCGCCGCCCGCGCGCGCGCCTCCCGCGCCTCAGTGGCCCGCGCGCGCACGCGCGCTCGCCAGGCCCGCGCGCGTGAGGCGCGTCCCGTCCGTCCCGTCCCGTCCCGTCCTGTCCCGTCCCGCCCTTCGCCCTCCCCTCCTCCTCCTCTTCTTCCTCTTCTTCCTCTGCTTCCCGCTCTCGTCCTCCCATGTCGTGCCTCAGCACCGGTAGCGCTTCGGGTGAGCAGAGGGTGACCTTCGCGGGCCGTGGCGGGCCGGTGGGTGGGTGTGCTCCCCGCCCAAGGAGCGGCGGTGGCGGAGCGGCTCCCGCCGAGGGCAGGCGATGCCGGAGCGGCTCCCCCTCACGGCACTGCCCGGCTCCGGGGGCGGGCTCCGGGAGCGGAGGGGCCGCGGGGGCCGTGTCCTGCCTCCTGCCGCCCCTTCCCGCGGGCACTGAGGCAGCGCCGGGTCCCGCCGGGCAGGGTTGGAGCGGGGGATGGCAGGGATTTGGGATCGGGGGTCCCACCTGGCTCCCTTTCGAGTGCTCGGGTCAGGCTTGCAGGGAGCTGCTGGCAGCTCTGCTTTAGGCCCCGTTGTTTATCCTCCGGCTCCTGTGTGTCCATCCCGTTTTGTGGGGCTTGTGTCTGCCTTGCCGTGACTTCTTTGGGATTTCTTTGATTTTCTCTCAGAAAAAAACCTGGCGTTAATTGTAAGAGACGGGGGGTTTTTTTAATAGAGAGGGAGGGTAGGGAAGTTGACAACTCCGCCTTCTAAAAAAGAGCCTCCGTGGTTTTTTCAGGTTGGCTGCGGTGAGAGCTTTCTCACGTCCATGTATAGAATAGAAACTACACTGTGGGCCTTGAGTGAAGTCCTTGTGTACTTTCCAGGGGTGATTTTCTTCTAACTGAAGCTGTTTGCACGGATAAAAAGTAATAGCTGACCTATGTTTGTTTCTGTGTTTCTTCTTAGTATGCTTTTGTATCTACCGCAGTTTCCATTCAGTATTCAGAGATCGCGCTTTGTAAATCTTTCTGTGTTAACAATATATTAATTCAAGATTCAAAACACCGACCCTGTCTCTTGGGCCACGCAGCTCCACAGCATCGTTGTCAGGTCACTGCTTCCAGCTGACCTGTCTCACAGTGGGATCGGGATGTGGCATGTGTGCTGTCAAGTGGAGGAAACAAGAGTTTCATTCTGAAACAGCCTTTCCTGATTCTTTCATCCATTTCAAATCCTCGCTGCTGGAATCCTCCTGTTAATGTGAAATTATGAAACTTCAGCCTCCTGCAGTTGGATTTGCCTTTCATGGCAGTGAAAGTGTTTGTAATTGTCTTGCCATGCAGGCACGGGTGGGCAGTGACTGAACAGGTCTTGCCCTTTTGTTACAGACATACAGTAGGGGCCATCCTCCCAAATTTTTTGCCTCGATATTTCTGAGAAGTTCTATGCAGCATACTTCACATACTAGGAATATTCTTTTTAAATTTGTTTTAGTGTTTCCAGTGCTCTTTCCAGTAGTGCTTTTATCTTGATTCTGATTAATTGAAATATCCTGAGTTACTTCAGTCTCCATTCCATCAATGAAGCAGAAGAGAGGATGAGCCAATGCTTTTGCCTCAATCAATATTACATTCAAATATAATGTACTTGCCTAGAAAGTTGTTTTGGCACTCCCTTGGTGCAGCAGAGAGCTTGTAAGGCCAGACTTGGGATTCAAAGCAAAATCTACATCTTCATGTTTTTAAAACAAAGCATGCCCTGTAAGGTTTTCTGCTCATTTCATGTATTTATTTTTACCCTGTAGTGATTCAACCATCCTGGAGCCTTTGTGGCTTTCTAGCACGCTTGTTCTAAAATTCAAGTGCCTATAATTTCTGTTTTTATTCTAGGTGTTAACAAATTCTCCTTTTTTTCTCCTGTATATTGATTCTTAAATATTGGCTTTCTAGAAGTGCAGAGGAATGTTTTTATTAATCTGACCGTAGTTTTGACTTGTTATAGTCAAACGAGTTTATTTTTGAAAGCTACCACACTGGAGTGTGGCAGAATAAGTGCTTTTGGACGAAAATAAAATTTCTAAGACACTATAAATTAAATTACACTATTTTGGAGTGTGATGAGATTATTGAGTACATTTAGTATGGAGGGATCTGGAAATACTAGAAAATGCCTGAAGTCAACTTACTAACCAAGTGTTTGATTATTAAATCTGTTGTTTTCTAGGTATACACAGATCCTGGACTTTATTTTTAATTGAGTAACCTGCATCCTGCTGACCAAGAAACCAGATTTAAATTCTCCTTTTTAGTAGTGTTTGGTTGTTTTTCTTCCTTGTTGGAAGGGCTCAGCAGTGGCTCCTGTTCACTTCAGTAAGTATTGCTTTGAAAATAATACTCAGCTTGCCTAAAATCTTGTTAGATTTGGCTCTATTTGAGCTGGTGTATTTCTTGAAAGAGAAATTATCCTGTCAAGGATTTTGAGAGTGTAGTTTCTTCCCAGAAAGGAGTGGGAGAAGCATTGCTTTGAAAACCATAAGAAATAGCAAAATTGTAAAGGAACTGATAAAATAAGGATTAGGATGAATGTTTAACACACCAATGAAGGCAAGATTACAAAAATAAACTTTCTCTGCAGCAGTGACTGGAATGACATTCTTTACCTCCTTCTATGTATTCCTTTTCTCTCTCTGTCCTCTGCATTAAGAAGATGAAGAGATGAAGTCTTCTAGTGATTTAAACCCAAACACTGTTCCAAGCTTCCATTCTGAGATGTGTTTATGACAGCCCACATTGACTGAAGAGTTTTGCCATCATAGCTCTATTGAGAGGACAAAGATCAGTGCTATTGTTTGTTTAATCTGTTCAGGTAAAGTGCAGTAAGGACTGGTTGAAGATGCCATTTTGATGTAGTCCTGATGTGCCTCCTCAGCTGCCTTGTCATCAGTGGTGTATGAATATCTGGTTTTAATTAGCATTTTGAATTCCTTCATATTGTATCAACTGCTTTTGTATTTTGTTCAAAATGAAGAGTTGACCTGAATAACAATAACTTTCTTGGAATACATTAGATGTCTTTTCCTTAATGCAGAAACCAGAATAAGAAACCACTTTGTGTTACAATCAATGAATTTGCCACCCCTGTAGACTTTAACTGCCTTGTTTTTACCTCTGTTTTTTCCCTAGATGACAGTGTGCTGCTAATGGGTGTAAGTAAATTAGATGTCTTATACCGAAAGCTTCTCCTCACTAAACTTTTCATCAGAGGATGGGGAAAGCCAGAGGATCTGAAAAGGTGACTTGCTAAAAAGTAGCAGCATAAACAATATGTTACATTAAAAGAAAAACCCTTACCCTTGAAGTAGCAACAGTATTTGCTAGCCTGTATTTAAAATACCAAAAGTGTTTAAGTTGGTTCTGTTCAAGAAATCATGTGTTTCTATACCAAGGGAGTAACTGGATTTAAAAGAAGTCTTAAAAAGATTTGCAATTTTTTTTTCTGTTTGAGGAGGCTCTTCTTGAGAGAATGTCTATGTGCCCAGCTATTTTTTTACTTGTGTTTATCTGATGTCATACTTCAAACAGCATCTCTGGAAGGGTTTTCCAAAATCAAAACTCGATGAATTTCTGCAGAAGATTTGTTTCTGTTTAACATTGAAGTGACTCTTGCTATCTTTCTGTCGCTTCCTACTTAGTTTTAAAAGTGTAAGATTTAATCAGAGGTTTCTCTCACAGCCCCAAGTAGTAAACTCTTTATTTTTAGATGTCTTGAAAACAAGAAAAAAATGGAAGTACCTCTTAATTTTTAAACATTTAATTATTTTTATTAATTACTATTGAGATTAACACCTGGAAGTTGAGCACTTGTATTTCTTAAGTATAAAAATGAAATGGCAATATATATATTCTGCATTGTGCAGTATTTAAATAGGAAACCTGCATTTAATAAGCTCACTCCTATGTATATGAAAATCAATAAAGAAAACTTTGAAAACTACTGAAATAAAGTTTTGTGCACTGGATAGCAGTGGAGTTTTATGAGAGCTTTTTTTTTTTTTTTTTAAACTCCACATGAAACATCTGATCTGGAAATGGCACTTGGACTGCTTTGCATGTCTGTCTTCAGATGATTTTTTCCTCTTAAGTAGCAGACTTTCTTGCAAAATGATAACATTGGCTTTGGTTGGAATAACCAAAAACAGTGGGGTTTGTTTTGATTACAGCATTTCTGTATTCTATTCCATTTGTGCATCTAAAATGGGATATTTTAATGTTATCAAACCCCACTCTTTCAAAGACCTTTGGGTTCTTGGTGAGACATGGTGAAGTTTCAGTGCCCCATGTCCATCTCCCTCCAGTCCAAGCAGTGTCTCCATACACGGAGCCTCTGGGTGATGCTGCTGCTCCCCAGTGCAAGTGCCTGGGCTCTGGAGAGTGATCACACCCACACCAAATGGCAATAAGGGAGTGATGCTGGTGCTAACAGTGATGTCAGTTAAAGTTCCTCCTTCTTCATTCCAGGGGAAAAACCCTCTCCCACCAGCTCAAAAGTGGTGGGGGAAGCAGGAGGCAAACTTGCGGGTCTGCAAAGGGGAAAAAATTTTATTATTTGTGTTGCCACTGACTGGGATGGAGATGAGCTGTTCCCCAGCAGCCTGGCTTCACCTGGATGAAGAAGGAAAAATGCTGACTCCTCACACTGCCTCGTGGGAAGAGGGTTTTTATTTTTGTTTTTTAATTCATCACTGTGGAGCTTCATTATTAAGTTATTAAATTTTTTATACTTCAGACATTATCTGAGATTGAATGACAGACTACTCTGCCTAATCTGAAATTTTGTGTGCACACCCTTGTTGTGATGAATGTTAATATCCTAACTCCCGGTCCTCAACTCATTAGCAAGGGTTGGAATTCCTCAGCAGAGGCAAGATTTAGCCTTCAATATCCACCTAACTATCGAAAAAAAGACATAAATGCAGTATTTGTAGAAGATTTATAGTCAAACAAAAAAAACATCTTTTCGTTTTGCTAACCCTCCACACTCACATCTCACGTCTTTACGATTACTTTCTCAGAAATACTTAAGGCAGTTTCTATAAGAGAAAAGCAAAGGTTATAAAGTAGAGCTGATTTTTTTTGTGGTGATAAACTGGATTTTCTTTCCATTCTTTGGGTTTTCTGTGGTGTTGGGGAAGTGAACAGGTCATACCTCTGTACTTTTCACTCAAACCTGTTTTAGCTTGTCAGATAAAGTGTGTATTTATGAACATAGGCATCAGCAAGTTATGGAGTATTTAAGGTTGAAAGAGCCAATTTGAGGGTATCAAGTCAAAATCCCTGTTCAAAACAAAGCTGACTTCTTTGTTTCTTCAAGTTACTTGGCACTTCATTCACTTGAAAGGCACTTCATCCCTTGAGGATGAAGATAATTTATAGTTTCCCTGGGCTATTTTTCCACATACTTAACTGTGAAAGCAATGTTTCACTTTGCTCCAGGAGGGATTTCTTACACTGCAGCACAGGATCATTGCCTCTTATGTGTTCATGGCCTTCAGTAAGCTTATCCTCTCACTGTACACCTCTGAGAAGAGTTTTGTCTCTTTTACTGGCTCTGCAGCCCATTTAAGTAGCAGAAGAAAACAACCAGATTTGCCCCTTTGCTTTTTGTTCCTCAGCAAGGTACCTGAGACTTTTTAACTTAAAAGCATGCTATGGTAGCTACCTATCCTATGGTGGCCTGACTAATCTGTAAATGCAAAGCTGGCTTCATTACTTTTGTTTGTTTGTGGCTTACTTTAGCTCCTGAAATGTTATATAAATATGTCTCTTCTTTTTTTTAGATAAAAAGCTGAATCTTCTCTACTTGTTTCCTTTCAACAGAATATTTGAATTCAGAAAGATTATTGGAAACAGGGAAAAATGCCAGACGCTCGTTTCGAAAGATTACCCAGTGTTCATTGACAAGGTACTTAAAAGCAAGAGATGGGTGTGATTTAACTACATTTATTTTCCTAAGGGTATATAAAGGTGAAATAACTTGGTACTTAACACCAGGCTACTTTCATAGGTTACTAGAAGAGAATGGAAGGAAATAGAGACTAAAGCAGTACTTGTACAGATACTGGTTTTTTTCTTCTTTTCCCAGTAGTACAGTAGTAGGGCAGCGAGATATCAAATGTTAAAACTCGGTGTTCAAAACTTAGTCTGTGTTATTGAGTGTATTTTAAATGGAACAGTATTACACCTTTCTTTGATTCCTGTAAAAGGTTATTTAATAAAATCAGAGTTGAAAAAAAAGTGTTTTGACCCTGTTGATAACATGTATCCCTATTTTTAGGAGTAGGCCTCAGCTTTGGGGTTTTTAAGCTAGTTTTTTACCCTATAACAAATTCTACTTTAAGAGATTTGCTTTCAGAGCAAGTTAAAGACTGACATAATATTTATTGCTACTGTCCCATTCTTTCTGCAGGTTGAGGGGCAATCAGACTGTAAAATCCTTGAGGGGCACTTCATTTCCCCTTTGGCTCATTGTGTCCCAGGTATTCTGCCAGTGGAATCTCTTGTAGCAAGGTAAGAGAAACCAAGAGGTATTTCTGAAATTAGTTCTGCAGAGAAATAATGGTCTGTAAGTAGTTTTATTGTGCAACGAATTGATTGTAATGCAAACAATCTGTAAAGTCTTATTCATGTGATAGTTCAATCTATGTATTTTAAAAAAAATCCCCTAGCAAAGTAGTACTTTTTTGGTTTGGGTTTTTTGTTTGTTTGGGTTTTTTTAGCGTATTAATCATATTGCACAAAGCTGTGGAATACCCTCGGTTTTTTGAATTACTGGTTTGGGTTTTTTGCAAATGAGGGGGATGCTGGAAATGAAGAACAGTAGTTATTGTGTTATATGTAGCAGGAGAAGCTGTTTATATCAAAGCATATTATGTTGTATTTGAAGGAGCCATTCCAGCTTTCCATTTCCATTGAATACAAAAATTTTGTATGTGTGATAAAGTAGCAAGCTAATTTTATTGTAGCCAGAAAATCTGGTTCCTTTCTTGCTTAACAAACAAACAAACAAACAAACAACAAAAAAAAAAAAAAAAAAAAGGAAAAAAAGCATTCTCACAGAAAGCTAGAGGTTCCCTAGCAGTGCTGGTTTCACACTAACACTTCTTTGCAGATTAGGAGTGGGTTTGCAAAAGGAGCATAATTTCTTTTTGCTTTTAGTTTTGAGCTGAACTGTCGTGATGAATTTTTTTTCCCAGATTTTGTTTGTTTAATAACATAAACAAAAGTTTGTCAGCTCAAGTTGATACTGACATTGTAAATTTTGTCAGTAATACTGGTTGGTGTTTTTATATGTATGCTTAAGCATGTAATGTTAGGGAATGTGAGAAATAGGTTGATAGTCAAGAAATCAGTTCTGTTCCACTTCTCTACTGGTTAGAGAAAGAAACTGTTCATGTTTGTTAACATTATCAAACTAATTAGTGCCGTACTGGAAAATATAATATGCTCATTGCTTCCTCATCTATGTTCTCTTGTGCTTTGTAGCCAAGTTACTGTAATTGTTACTTTGGCCAGTATTGTGACAGTTTCCAAAAGCTGTATACATTTCCCTCAAGGTGGTATGAATGTATTTCCTGAAGTGTAATGCTCTTGTAGGTAAGAGTGCTCCATCTTGTGGGGAAAGTAGTGGTGGCTCAGAAGGGATTTTTTTTCAGTAGTTTATACTGTAAATAAGTAGCAGCAGAAGACATTAATTTATTCATGTTGAGTGTATAGAATAATTTCATGATTTGTATGATAGGGTTTCATTTTTTTTTTAATTTTTATTTATTGCTCATCTTAATCTTCAATTTCAGCTGTTGTGCCTTCAGGAGAAAAATAGCAATGATGCCTAGGAGAGCTGGACATGATTATTTAGGCTGCTCTTTATCTGAAGTTGCATTTCTCCACTCTGCAAAGTTTAAATTGTGATGATGAGGTAGTAGTCTTTTTTAGGAACATGATCTTTCATCTTGGCTCCTTTTCTTGTTTGGCCTTTCTTCTGTCCTACTTTCAGATTCCTTTGTTTGCTGAATGTGTTCATGAAAAGTGATGTTGCTGAATTGCTGGCAGTTTGCCTGCATGGGTTACAAATACTTCTGTTGTTTTGGTTTTGTTTTTTTTAATTAATTTCTCTTGATGCAGCTTGTAAATAGATATTCTTACTCTGCTAAAATAAGTATTCATTTCTCACAGATTTCAGTTCATCATACCCAGAAGATGGAATGGCAAGCACAGACCTGTGTGCATTCATTTAGCAGGCACTGGAGACCATGTGAGTGTGTAAAATATAAAATTGATTATTACTGAGAAATTCAACCATCAAATTTTATCTTACCTATATTGTTTGTACATCTTGTCTTTAGCACTTCTGGAGGAGACGCACGTTAATGGCCCGGCCAATGATTAAAGAAGCCTGTATGGCTTCCTTGTTGCTAGAAAATCCTTATTATATCCTTTTGTGGAAAACACAGAAGTTATTCCTAATGTCCTCTCTGCAAGGTAGAAGAGTTACCACACTCGTAAAATGCCAACTTTTTGATCCCCATTGGGTAGAAGCAAAGAAAGTATGACCATTATGTGAAACACAATTGTATAGTACCCCAGGTAACTTCTGAGAAACTTGCTGTTACCACTTCAGATTTGGGTTTTTTTTTAAAAAACAGTTAAGTTTTTTTCTGTCATATTGTGTAACAGTATCATTCTGTTTTATTAAATAGGATACACTTTTTTCCTGCCCATATATCTGACAACAGTAAAATGTTGCAAACAGCATCATTGAAATAGACTGAATTTAATTCAGTGACAGTTAAACACTAGGAGTTTAAATTCCAAATTTCAATTAATTCATGCTATTTATGCATATTATTTATTTTATCTATTTTTTTAAATTAACAGTTTTGATAAAGCCTCTTTTACTTTCTTTAACTGGAGTCTTTTACATGGCTGTAGAAAACCTAAGGATCAATTGTAAGTATTCCTGTTACATTTATGGATACTGAATTTTTAAAATACTGCTTCTTTTTTTCTCTTTTGAGCCAAAAGTTGTCTAAACTTTGATAGCTTATTAAGAAAAAAACATTGCAAAAACCACTTGTAAGCTGCCAATGTGAAATTATCTGCTCTTTGCTAAACTGCTTTGGATGTTGTGTTAGGAGATCTCAGGGATCAGCAAAGTTTGCACAAGATGAACTTGCAGTACAAAGTGAGATGCAAACATCTTGTGTGAGAGCAAGCCAGGGCCATTTTATTTTCCTAACTCACATCTGCATGAATAAGTGCTGCTGTTATATTTCAGTCACCTCTGAATAATCCTTGCTCAGATAGCATATTTCCATTATAATAGCTAGGATTTTGCTTTTCCAAGATCTTTTAAGGATTTACAGGCATATGAATAAATCTAGTGTTGATTGGTTGTTAGTCAGGACGCTATGCAATATTCAGTATTTTACAGGATTTGTTTCTTCAGTCAGTTTCTTAAATTGGAATTTGGAAGTCTAATTAGGCAGTCTTGGCTTTTTACTTTTTACATTTTCCAAACCACAGACGTTATCAGAATTCAACAGGATATGTGTCTGAGGCAAAGCTTTTAGTCTCCTAGTGTTTCTGAATGTCCTAAAATGAGTTGGTGTTTTAATCCTAACTCGGACATTTAACATGAAGAGAAGGTGTTTTTTGTAAGATTATGAGAAAGTGACAGGAGAAAACATGTGCTGGAATACATCCATTGGTAGATTAATTTCCAGTTATGGGTGATCTGAGGCAGAAGAATAAATTAAATAACTCTGTTCTCAGTTGTCCAGCATGTCAGGATTGTTTCAAGGGTGGGGGGTGCTCAGTCTAATACCCCAACAGGTGATTGTCCCTCTCCAATACAGGGTTACACAGCATTAATGTAACAGATGACAGTGTTCAATAAATGCAGCAGCTGCAGAGGGCTGAGGGATCACACAAAGCTCTAGGAAAGAATTGCATTAGGCTGTAAATGCTGCTCTGCAGCTATGTTCATTTCTGTGTGACTTCACAGTGAGCTTTGTCCTTGTGCTTCAGAGTGTTGCAAATGTGACAGTGGCATGCTGGCAGGAGAGGCTAGGAGCCCTTTGTAACCTGGCTGTGGTACTGAAAATACTCAGTCCCCCTCCCCAAGTTAGAGGTCTATTATTTTTAGGTCCCTCTGATGGCTCAGCCAAATAGATTTCTACTTTTTTTGTGTGTCTTCTGTGTTTTAGTGCTTTGCAGTACACTGCTGAATTCTCAATACTGTGACAAACCTCCCACTTTACAGTTTCAGTCTTAGAGTGACACTGATGAGTGCTTCCAAAGCTGACATACTGATTGCTCTTCAAATGTTGTGTGCAATTTTCAATGATGTAAAACAGGTAAATAAGAAAAAAAACAAAGCCTTGTTTCTGCAAACGAAATAGTGTATGCCTAGGACAGTATCATTTTGATTCTATTTCTAAAATATCTGCTACAACTTCACAGGGCAGAATATTGCTACTAATGAGATGCTAATGTTGGTAATTGTTTCCAAAAGACCAAGCTGTCAGTTATATTACATTAAAAGCATAGGCAGGTGTCTATTTCTAGTTCTCATTTGGATGAAAAATTACAAGTGCCAGAAAATCTGGGCTTGCTTTTTCCTCCTGTTGAATCAACAGGAGTTTAGCTCCAAAATTCTCTGGGATTGTGATGAAGCTGTGTATAAAAGTATGTATAGAATGATAAGAACTGTCAGAGTCTAATCTTAGAAAATAAACCCTCTATTTTCCTTTTCTGGGGAGAAAAGACGGTCATGTTTAAAAAATGTCTCGGACCTGTTTGTGATGGGAGGAGCTCTAATTCTAGAATCGGCAGCTCTTTTGCACTGGCTAGAGAGAGAAGGCTATGGACCACTAGGGATGACTGGAATATCCATGGGAGGACATGTAAGCTTTTATATCTCCTGTTCAGTAATTTTTCTTTTAACTTCTCATTTGATCATGTAGCATATGGACATAATTTGTTTTACAGTGTTGATCTCAGAAGTGCTTTAAAATAAACACTTAGAGTCATGAGAAACAAATTGTTGGCAATTCTCATGTTCTGTGGTGCTGAATTAGTATAATCCTTAATATGTACTGACAAATCATAGAGCCCTTTGTCAGCCATCTCCCAGCAGGCTTAATAAGAATATAAACTTCACACATAATTGTTTTTTTTTCCACAAGGGTGGGGGGCAGAAATGTTTGCTGAAAGCAAGTCTGCACTGATCGATTGCTAATTCTCCCTCTTTTCCTCCTTTCTGCTTGCTTAAACCTTTGTGTTTTAATGCACTGTGTGAAATACCCCCTCTTTGTGGCATGTTGTAATTGAGGTGAATTTTGGTGTCAGTGATCATGGGTACTGATCAGAGATTTCTGTGGTGAGGTGGATAACATTTTTTGTGTGGCACTGTGTATACTCAAACTAAACCAGCAGTGTATCAATAAGGTGCCTGAAAACTAATACACAGTTAAAATGTCACTGCTTGTGTCTCTGCAGATTATCACAGCTCTGTGAGACACAGGTGCAAAGCTTATTAAAACAACACATACCTTTCTTAGTTTGTTAGGAGCTCAATAAATAATGTTGGTAATAGTAGTGTTTCCCAAAAGGAAAATATTCCCCTAAAGCACAATTTTATAACTGTAAATGTGATAAATGTACAGAGCACCTTTGTTTTATGTCAACATCACCCTGCTGAATCAGAAACCTCTGTGAAATAAGTGATATTTGATGTTAATCCTCTGTAGAGCATGCTTTCCAATGGAAGGTTGCAAGCATTGATTCAGTTCTGCTAAAGGGGAGAGACTTCTACTACTGCAGAGAATCAGAACATAGATATGTGGTGCTTGTAACTTTTTATTAATAAAAATAATTACAATGGAATTATAGTTCAGCTGCATAAATCCACTCATTAGAACATCTAGAACAGACACAAAGTGTTTCATATTAATATAATAAAACTTGTCAAGAACATACCATATAGGGAACTTCTGTACATTGAACTTACTTGCTCTGGCTTTTTCTGGAATAAACAGAATAGTCACAAAAATATGTTCTGAGAACTGATGCAAAAGTAATAATTCAAACTTAAAGGACAGAAAAAGAGTGTGCTTAACATGTTGAATTACTTCTCCTTCAAATTTTGTTTCCTGTATACAAATTTTTAAGTATAGAGTTTTAAATAGTCCTTCTCATAGATTGTCTTTGTTTTGCATTGAAATAAACTTGCAAGAATTTGGAGGAAAGTTTTACAGAAGTTTTTTATGGTTTTAAACAACTAATAACTTGTAATAGTTTTTATTAGTATAATGATAATTAATGCATTACAACTGTAATTCATTGAATTTTTATTATAATTAATGGAATATTTAGTAAATATTCCATTGTGGATTCTTATAACCAAATCCCATTCAGCCTTGAAGGGAGTCCTTTCCAGAGCAATGTTTATTTTTAAAAAAACCACTGGAGGCTAGATAGTAACTTCTAAATATGTGAAAGTATATCCAGCTGCCACAGTCCTTAACTCTTTGGCACCACGTGCTTCATTAATACCATGTAAAGAAAATTGAAATTGAAGATGAGAGAGTTCTTTTTACCATATTGTGAATTCAATCTTCAAATGTGTAATAAGTGCCTTTGATTCTAGATGGCTTCACTGGCAGTGACAAACTGGCCTAAACCCTTGCCATTGATTCCATGTCTTTCCTGGTCAACAGCCTCTGCAGTCTTCACTACGGTAATTAACAAACTACAAAATACATTTTTTGTTAACATATTAGATTATAATCAGAAATGTAAAAATGTTAAAATATCTAGGCTGGCCACAAGGGAGGTGGGATTCCATGTCCTGTGTTTTAATATGAGCTTGTGCTTTGATTGCAATAATTCTGAGAGCTGTCTGGGGATAGACTTCCACTGAAAAAATCAGGAGAGGAACAGGTCAATTTCCTGTGTGTATCATTATTTTAGAATGACCTCTGGGTTTTACTTGTGTACTGAATGCTTTTGTTTATCAACTCAGGGTGTGCTGAGTAAGGCAGTGAACTGGAGAGAGTTGGAGAAACAGTATTTTACAGAAACGGTGTATGAAGAAGAAATCATTCAAATGCTTGAATATTGTGGAGTAAGTATGGTTTATTTTATCTATCTGCTAATATTTACATGTGCAAATCTAGCAAATAATGAAACTTCTTTTTACTTCCACTAAAAGTAGACAATTGTTAGCTAGAACATACTGGTATGTTTCTTTATGTTTTGATAAATTTAGTATCTGAAGGAAAAACCTGAGAAACCAAATTAGTATTTTGGTTGTGTAATGCGTTTAAAGTGTAGTCCTTGCTACAAGTTTTACTTTTGATCACACTTAGTGTAATGTACAACATAAAATGTATTTAGTCAAAATTCGGATAAATGCCTTTTTTTTTTCTCCCTGAAATTCTTTCCTTTGTGATAGTTCTTCTTCTAATACCTCACAGCAGGAGAAGAGCAGCTGGGGTGCACATAATTGTTACTTGGGCACTTGTCATTTTTAAGTCAAATACACTCCAGCAACACTGATGGAAAAGACAAAATGAAAAGAAGAATTATTTTTCAAGATGTTCAGCTTGTGTCTCTAGTATTTAGGCACTGTCAATTTTTCAGTCCTAAATATAATATTAGACCTGGTCACATATGTTCATTTTTCTGTTATTATTATTATAATTATGTCATTTAAGCTTAAATGACTGTAATTATATATTCAGAGTTTAATACAAAAAGAAAAACAATTGTTTCTATCACAAGCTTATGTATATGTATGTGCCTCCTGAATTTTTCTTAAACTGACAGAAATGTTGAAAGAAATTATCCAGAGGTTATGATGATCAGGATTTAATTGAATGACCTGCAAGCTGAAAATAGAAGTGAGCAGTGCTGGTGGTGTCGTTTTTTTATTTTTTGTTTTTTTTTTAAATATGAGTTCATCTTAAAAATAAAACTAACCAACTGGTTGAAGGGAGAAGCCTTTAATTGTTGTCTTTGTTTAGACGGATTCTTTCAAGATGGGACAAGACTTTGTGAAGAACTTCCCTGACAGTGTGGACAGTCTGGCAGACATGGACATGACTTCCAGAATATTCAGCTTTGAGTCCTTGAACGACACTGTACCTAAGGAATCTGTTCACACCTTTGCCACAAATAGAAGTGCTCTAAGTGCCTCTTCAGAAAGACTCTTAATGCAAGATGCTCCTAAAATGCAGTGCATAAATCAAACCTTTTCCACCAGTAGCAGTAGCAATAAAAACTTAACCAGCCCACAAGGACACAGGGTAAATACAAGGAGAAGAAGTGAAACTTTACAGAGAGAATCCTTAATGTTCATGAAGGGAGTAATGGATGAATGTACCCACGTAGCTAACTTCCCAGGTAACTAACTAACTTCTTTATTTCAATGTGCACTTTGGAAAGCTGAATAAAATACAGGGGGGAAAGGTATTTTCTTCATTCTCCAAGGGTAAACCTGCTGGCACCTTTGCTGAAATATGGAAATACTGTGAGCATTATTCTGTAGCATCTATTTACTACTCCATTTCCTAATTGTTTTTCTGTTCTTTTTCGATGGCCGACTAATGACAAAGTTAATTAAAAATTTACCTCTCGGTATCTTTGCTCATTTTTCTCCTCTGCCTTGCTGTGGCTTTTTTCAGATATAGGAATAAAACACCTGTGTGATGTGAGTAATACCTAGGTCTAATTAATCTTAATTAATCTGCTAATAAGGTTTTTCAAGCAGAAATCTCCTACTGACTTCAGATAGAAAGTAGCCTGCATAGGTGAGCACCAAGCTTGAATGATGTTGCCAGTAAAAACATTTTGGGGATCCTTCTGGGCTGGTGCAGGCTGGTGAATCCTGTTTCCCAGGACAGGCATAGCATATAGGGGGAGCTGTAGTCCAGCATTCCTTGGCGTTCAGAACAAACCCTTTCCAGCAATGCAAACAAGTAATTGCTTCCTAGAGCCGCCTTAAAAGGTTCTGCTGGAGTGGGGGCTCAGAATTCCTTTTGTAGCAGTTCATGGTTTGGCTGTGCATGAACCTGCTGAAGGCATCTCCTACAACGTGCTTTGACTTCAGACAGACTTGTCTTTTAATGTCAAAGCTTTCTTGGTACTGGGACTCCTTGCCACCTCATTTCTTAATTCTGGCATTCAGTACTTGTACCATTGGTACAAGTGTTTATATTTAAATAAATGTTAAAAAGAAATAAAAGGAATCTACACTAGTGTAGATTTTTTTCACTGCTAGCCAGAGATGTTTTGTGATGAATGCCAGTGAAATGCTTTCCTTAAAGCTTTTAAAATTATTTCAGTAGACAGAAAAAACCGTCTAAGTTTTATTCTATGTACAGACTTTCTTGTTCATCTAGACTTTTCCAGGTATCACTTAGCTAAGCACTGACCTTTCTTGGAACTTAAAAAGATCTGTGATCCTGATGCACTTGTCAAAGTGAGGAAATCCATTGTGTCCAGTCTCCCAGATCTCATCATTCTCTGGGAGACTTTGCATCCCCTGCCCGGGTATCCTTGGAGTGAGGCCAGAGAAGAGCTTCACAAAATCTGCCTAATGCTCAGATTTCATGAAAAATTGAATGGAAGACTTGAATTCATCTTAGCATTGCATATTTACTATATATGATTTAGTATGAAAGAAGGAAGAGATTAAATTATTTGTGACACCCCACTACCAGACATCTTGACTGGTCACTCTTCAAGATATCACATATTTTCTTTGTGAAGGGAGAAATGTCTGTTTTCAACATAATTTTGGTGTTATTTTTCTCAACATCATATTGGTGTTATTCCTGCTAGTAATCTGATTGGTGCAGTTCTGGTTATGAGTAATAAATATGTATAACAATATGTTGGGATTTTTATGTTGCAAGTAAACCATGTAGGAAACAAAAAAGAAAGTGAGCATAGGCTGTGCTTTCTGACCTCTTATATGAAGAGTTGTCTTTTTTCCTCCTTGAGGGGAAAAATATATATGAAACTTCTACTCTGTTGAATTTCATAGCTCTTTTTGCCAATAAAAAGGGATCTCAAAGAACTGACATGAATGCTATAGAGTTTTGTTGCTAAGAGGAAAGAGAATTCTCCTGTGAACTTCACAAGTCTGAGGAATTCCTGCTCTAGGGGTGGGAAGGGTAAGGGTTGTTTGTTTTTCCACTGATGGCCTCACGACTGTAACATCAAAAACCAGATAAATTCTGCTGGAGACTTTAAGAGCATGCAACTTTATTAAAGCTTTGAATAATTTAATTTTTTGGGAAAATAGCATTTTGACAACAGAAATCTCAGCTGTTGTGTTTCTATTTCTTACCACAGATGAATTCAGTTTTTGCTTTGTTTTCCTTTAGTTCCAGTTGACCCAAGTTTAATCATAGTAGTACAAGCCAAGGAGGACGCGTACATTCCCCGCACCGGCGTGCGCAGCCTCCAAGAGATCTGGCCAGGCTGTGAAATCAGGTATCTGGATGGAGGTCATGTCAGTGCCTACCTCTTCAAACAAGGACTCTTCAGGTAAGGTGAACAGAAAAGTTTAAAATTAAATTTTAGATTTAATCAAAATGAAAGCTTGACTATAAATAAGTAGTACTTGCATGAATTCGTGTCTTAGTAATATTAAGCGTGGATTTTCTGAAGACAGTTATGTAAATCAGTTTTATAAATGCAGTTCAGTAGTTTTCAAAAAGTTAAATACTTTTGCTGTTAATTTTAAAATACAAGGAATTAGGAAGACTTTATACACCACTTAGGAAGTCTAAGCAACAACAAAAAATACTAGCCCTGCATTGGGTCAATATATGCTAACCAGTAGTTTATTGCTATTTAAAACTTCAGCCTTACTTTTATGATAGCTGCTCAAAAATTTCAAGCTATGCATGTCTGATGGTGTTTGAGTAGAAAACTCCTAATCTGTCTACATTTCCTCTTGCATGAAAGTTGGAAAATAGTCCCACTCGTTCCTGAAATATATACTACTAGATTGAAGTGAGATATCCCAGAAATAAAGGAAGGAGAAAATACCACCAGATACCACATTTTTATTGAACATTGTTTTGAAATTGTGATGATAGCTTTGTAGATATGTTTGTAAATATATGGAAAGATGCCACTTATATCTGCCCTTTCCCAAATTATACAAACTCCCTTCTCTTTTCCTTGTTTCAGACAAGCGATTTACGACGCGTTTGACCGCTTCCTCCAGAAATACACTATGTGATCTTTCTAATGCATTCAGACTGATCTCATTTGTAATTCAGCTTACTGGAACTCATGTTTGGAAAACAAGCCTCTTGTAGTGCTGAGCAGATGGTCACTGACTGTTGTAGGTAACAATTACCAGAAGTGGTAAAGTACCAGCATTGCTTTCATTTCAATCCAGTGCCATTCTGACACAGCTGCTTCAGCGTTACCTGTGAAAAAACAACAGCAGCATTTGTCAGTGCATGAACAGTTCCTGTCCTTCATTTCTAATTAGACTGTGTGTTCCTTCAATTCTGAATAAACTCTGAATCGTGTGTCAGTAGAAAACAGACCAATCAAGTATTGGAAGAATGTAAAATGTGCTGTGGGGCTAAGCTGCTCTCTTGTGTTTAGTGTGGTTTTGGTTTGTTCCAGATACCTCGGTTACCTCTTGCTTCCTTATGGCCTTGCTATTCCTATTGTGTTGGACTGTGGTTTTGCCAGCACTCAGCCTCTTGTGTTTGTCACTGCTTTTCTCTTCAATTATGAATTGAAAATGAGCCTTAGCAGAAGGCTCAGCACCACATCTTGCAAAGAGAGACTTTGACAATTCAAGGAGAAGTGAGAGAGAGATGGTTTTGTTCAATACGTCCGTGAAGTTTTCCTGCCACTGAATTAAACCGTGCCATTACACAAGGATCATGTAGCAATTCATCAGCCAGGTTCACAAAACTGGAATAAGTGAAGATCAAGTGTCTGGTAATTAATTGTTTACATTAATTCAGTTGGATAACATAAGCTTCCAGATTTCTTTTCTTTTTTTGGAGTGTTAGATGAAATAGAAATATCATCCTTTTACTTTCTTAGCACTGGCTAATTCTAGGCAGTTAAGTTGACAACAGATTGTATGGTGCTATAAAGACCTGTTGGAAATACTTCAACAGATGTCCTTTCTAAAGTCCACTCAGCGCTGATATGCAAAATACACTTGCACTGTATAATTTAAAAGATACGTGAGACTAAAGGTTATTGAAACAGTTAGGTTTGCTCCTTATTTTTCAACACTTGTCTTTTTTAATTGGATGGAAAATAAAGAAATTTGGATTTTGAACACATTAAAGAAAATCCAAAGTCTGTTGTTTCCTCTTTTGGGATCAAAAATGCCAACAAATTACAGTAGAATAAAAGGTTGTCATGTACCAACTGTGTGGGTATCTCTCCACATCTCTCTTTTTGTGGTAAACTCCTATAACATTCTTTTAAAACCAATTTGCAGAGAAGCTGAAAACTGAAACACTTCAGTATTTAGTGCAGTCACAACTAGGATTACTCTGAAACAAACAAAAATATCCAGCCATTTCTCAGGATGTGTGACTTCTACACCTTTCCAATCAAGCACTTTTGATGTCTGTGGTTGCTGTAAAGGTTTTCAGTAGGCAGAGTATGGAGCAAACAAAGCTCAGTTTATATATTTTCTTGAATTTTAGACAGGTAGACAGGACTAGTAACTGTGAAGAAATCATGGTTCATTTGAAAATCAAGTGTGTTCAGATAAAACTGAAGAATAACCCAAATGATGTAACATACAAATATACTGAAAATGCAGAAGATATTCTAATCTGTTGGAAGTTAAATTGCTTCTTTCAGGTGGTTTTTCATCTTTTATTTGGAGGGTGTTGGTTTTATATACGGGGAGCAAGCGTGAAGTGACTAGCACATTTAAACACCGAATATTTGGAGGGTTTGAAATTAAATATTAGTAAGTTTTCCAATTTAAAATTGAAGTCTTGACTAGTGTACTGAAAGATTCACGGGGTTTATAAGCATATTCATCAACTAAGAGTGCTTTACCAGAGTACTGTCTGCTGTTCAGCAGCTTTTGTAGCTCTCACATTTTAAATGTAATTGTGTGCTTTTGTGTCCTGCTTCTGTTGCAGCTATGAGAAAGGGAGATAACTGGTGGCAAGGGAAAGGGCTTGAATAAATGCAAGAGAGAAAAGACAGATTTTGTAAAGGCCAGGAGTAAGCACAAAAAAAATCAACTATGCTACAAAGTATAACATGCCAAAGCAAATATTTTCAAAGCGCACAATACTGGGAATTACACAACTGATGGGAACTGTGCATCCTGAGGTTAGTGTCCCGATGGTATTACTAACAAGGTTTAACTCACCAAAAGGGCAAAGAAGGAGGTTTAGGCTAATACCCCTCCTGCTGTGAGAGTGTCTTTTGGGACAAATGCTGCTCCTGGTTGTGAGAGTGTCTTTTGGGAGAAGCAGTGAAGGACTGGTTTCTGACAAGGATAAGGAATCGCACTTTGCTCTGTAACTGAAGTCGTGGTGCCAAATATGAAAGCCCAGTAAGCATTATTTAAGACATTTCTCAGGTTAGAATAACAAAAAAGGAAAAATGAGCTCAGTGGTCTATTTCTGCCAGTTATCAGACATAGGGAGCTGGTCTGTGAAGGGAAGAATCTTGCTGTTTTTAACCCTTGGAAAATCGACTTTTAAAATCATATTTTAAGGTTAAATCCTAAGAAAGTATAAATAATCCATTTTGATGTTAAATGAGAATGTGATTTTAATCCAGAAGTTGCATGAGAGAAATATTGTGGTAAGGTTTCTTCCGTGTAGCAGGTAAGCCATTCTGTATGTCTTAAATTTATTGTAAAACTGGCCTTGGTAATTTTTTTTGTTTTAAATTTTTTCAATAAAAGTCCTGAAAACATTTAGGTGTGAGGGGTTTTTTTTCCTCTCTTGTTAACAGGTGTTCAAAATGCATCCCACTGTCATCCTGTAATCCTTTCTGTTCCTACCAGAGCTGTAGCACGAGGAGAGCAGGTAATCTACAGGACACGATAAAAGCTTCACACAACAAACACTGGTGCTGCTTTGATGTTTTTCTACATGCCTAGAAACCTAGTAAAGAAAATAAGCTTGTATCAGCTAATTAAGATACCATTGTGATTCCAGTTTTACAATTGCCAGGGCAGGACACATCTAATAGTTGTCAGATAAAGCGTTTTCTAATTTTTTCCCCAAGGCCAATAAAACCTCCCAAACAACTCATAAGGATTATTATTATTATTTATTATTAGTAAGGATAGATCTTTGTTTTATTACTCCAGAAAGTCTGCAGAAAGGAAACACTATATGAAGGAATGGAGTCTTGCTGCTTTTTCTTGCTTCTTACTGGAATGTCTAGTGCCTGTAGTGTAGATATTCTCTAAACAGAAAAGTGAAATCCTTGGATCCTTGAAAAACTATTTCTGCTTCATAGCTGCTAACACTTTGAGGCAGGTATTTTTTTTTTTAATTTTATTTATTTATCTTAATTGTTTCTGTCTTTTTTTTTTTTTTTAATGTTGATCTGAATTGCTGTTGGTTGGGCAGGGAAGTTTCTTTATCTCAGACTGCCAGGTTCTCTGCCAGCTTGGTAGTAATGATAAGTTACAGGGCATGGAAAGGAGCTTTAGGGTGGTCTGTAACCATGTAATTCCTCCTGAATTTTTACCCTGTACGAGTAAAACACTGCTATTCCACGCAATCCTGGAATTTGCAGTGTTCCTTGGTAGGCTTGGGTGCTTCCACACAAGGTAAAATGTGAGCATTAGAACATAAATAAGAATTGTTCTTCTGGTTCCATTTGGTGTAAATCAGCCCCTTTTCCAAACATGAGCATTTAAAGTCCTGTGTTCCCGAAGGAAAGAGAGTTTTGCCAAAGTCTGACCCACACTGCTAGAAAGTAACAAGGAGGAGGATACAAGTGGACAAAATGTGAAGGATGAGTCCTAGCAACTGTAACAGCTTTTTATATCCTCTTCAGTCCGAGTCCATCCAACAAAGTCTGGGGGAAGCTCTGTCCTACAGAATTAGCAAAGTAAGTATGGCCAAAAACTTCTCAAGTGCCACGTAACTGATCAACTTTGGTGCTTTTTTGCCATCCCCCCCCCCCCCATAATTAGCCCTTAATTAGTTTCCTGGTTTTTTCCCTACTCTGTTTAGGTTCCTGTACTGTAGTATTCATGAAGTCCCAGATGGCCTCCTCCTCTGCTTCCTTATCTTCTAACACTTGAATGGGAAAAACGAGGAAACAAGAGTTTAATCCCCTTATTACCTGTGACTTAGGTAGAGGTTCTTTATTTTCATATCACTCTAAGCTCTGCTTAACTTCTGAGTTTGGGAGACCAAATAGAAGAAATGGAAGTTGTTTTAGTGTGACTGCTTCTCTTATTTTCAGGAATGTAAGCAATCAGCATGTCCTTGATTAGTAAATGTATGGCATCTGAAAAAAATTGAGTTCTTGGTATCCAAGAAAAATGCCTCTAAGGGTTTGAAGACTTGCTGTAATTTTAATAACTCTACCTTTTTTAGTCTTTCTCGATATAAATTTTAAAAGAAAATACATGTCACTTTCAGTACAAAAAGTGCTTAGAAGCAGAAGTGATGTTTTTCTCTATTTATGAAAATTCCTCTAACGTTTGGAGCTGAAATCTGCAGTTACAGGAATGTGCATTAACACATATATGTGGTTTGCTCCTTGTCACATAACAACTGTAGCTTTAGTTTCAAGCTTTAGTTTCAAGCCTTTACCACAGCAGGCCATTAATTTTCAAGTATCTTGAACAAAGCAGCAGGCACCTGGGGTTTGCTTTGGCATAGGCCTTGACTTCCACCAGGTGACCTGATCTGCTACTACTGGGCACACAGTTCCAGAATAATCCTAAAAATGTTTCAGTGCCTGAAGCGTCAGCTGTGGTGGGAATTTGTTGAGTTTTTTGTTGATTGGTGGTGGATTTTTTTATTTTTTTATTTTCTGGTGAAGGAGTAAAACATGATCTCATTAGAGTTGAGAACATTACCCTGAACATATTTTACTGCTGCAAAACCCAGGAAATTTGTTTAGTTGTGACGCTACTTCAAACATATTTGACTAGCTTTATAGAAGCTTATCTGGGAATTTGCTTAGTTCATTAATGAAATGTCGGTGTTATTTTTTGGAAGACCTGTTGTAAGAAAGGGAGTAAAACACAGCTGAGAGATGAATTAAAGAAATGGGACGGGAGCGGGTGTCTTATGGTGTAATCAAGAAGAATTGTTGGAGCACTAGGAGCTGGCAAAGAGGGAAAGGAGTGATTAATGTCGTGCTGTGGTGGCTTTCCTCATCCTGTGACCGTGGGATAATGCAGTGGCAGGAGCGTGGGTATAACCAGCGAGCGTGGAATGAGTGAGCGTGCTACTGTGAGATGATTTTCTGGGGGATTTTTGGCAGAAAGCAGAAGGGCAGACGGGAGACGGTGTAATGGCAGAGGTACCTGTCCATTGGAATGCTTTAAATGACACGGGATTCCCTGGCTGCTGACACCTCGAGTACGTTCTCATGCGCCTGTCGAACTCGTTCCCGAGGCTGTGCCCCGGGGAGCGCCCTTGGCACCAAGGAGACGCTCACATCCTCCTGCTCACCATATCGCCGTGCAGGTGCGGGCGAGGCCTGCAGAGCCGAAATGTCCGAAAGGGCCTGGAAAGCCTCCCGGCCGCGTGAGGTCACGGCGCACGGGAGAGCCCCGGGTCCCTCCCCCGCGCGGGCGGGGCCGGGGCAGCGCGCCCGGAGCGCCGCCCGTCCCTCCGCAGGCGGCGGCGGCGGCCCCGGCGGGTCGCGGTCGCTGTCCCTGTCCCTCGCTCCTCGCGTCGCCCCCAGCGGCAGCGAGCGGTCGCAGGGCAGCAGCGAGCCGGCGGCACTCGGCCCGGCCGGGGGGCGCTGGCAGCGGCTCCGGGGCGGGGCGGCGAGGAGAGGAGGCGGGTTCCCCTTCCCCCGCCGCGGGCTCCTCGCCTCGGCCGCCCCGGCTGCGGCCCCTCCGGCGGGCGCACGGCCGGGCATGTCCGCGGCGCAGGTGTCGGAGCGGCGGGGCTGGGGGGCGGCCCAGGAGCCCCGGCAGCCCGAGGTCGGCTCGCCCCGCGGCGAGGAGGTGGCGGAGGAGGGCGGCCGGAGCAGGGAAGCCCCGGCGCCCAAGGAGAACGCGTGGACGCGGCGCAGAGCTCGGCGGGACAGCCCTTCCCCGCCCGCGGGGCCGGACGGGCGGCTCGGACCGCAGGAGCCAGGTGCGGGGCCGGGAGCGTGTGCGCGGCGCCTTGATGGCATCGGGGGGGTTTTGGTTTTGGGTTTTTTGTTGGGGTATTTATTTTTTGCGGGGGGAAAAGGAAAAGCGCGTGTTTGTCAGCGGCCGCGGAGCCGGGCCCGTGCGCAGCGCGGCGCGGCGGGAGCCGGGCCGGGCACGCTGGGTTTGACATACATGGGCACAGGAGGGAGCGCTCGGGGCGGGGGACACGGCCGGGGACAGGAGCGCCGGGCTGGCTGCAGGTCCCGGGGCTTGCGGTGGCCACCCCGGCCCTGCGGTGACCTCCGGCCTCCTGGCGCTCGCAGAGAGGGCTGCTCGCCCACTCGTCTCGTTTAGCCTCCTTTAGAAATGCCGCTTTGCCGCAGCTCTTTTTCGGCTAATTGTGTAGCAAGGCCCTCGGAACGATCCGTTACTTGGGTTTGGCTTCCAGAGTGGGGTTGCAGAAGCTTTAAGCACTGACAAAAGCAGACAGTTCGCTCGCTGTTGGGATTTGGAGTGTTTACATAGGGAGAGTAGCCACGGGATAATTTCCTGGCCTTAAATCACTACATGTAAGATAAAGCTGCTTTATGGGTAGCACACTGACTGAACGGGCATATGGCTTTACAAAGCTGGTCGTAAAGGACCTAACTTGAAATTGCCAGGCTTTATGCTTAGGCTAGCAAAGAGTTCCTAGAAGTTTGTAGCTTCTTGGAGTATTGTTCTTGGCTGCAAGTAAACTGCTGACCTCAAAATAAATACTTCAACCAGCGCTCCCCGAGAATTTCAATCTCAGCACTTGCTCCTGAGGGCACCTGACAAACCTTTTTTGTGATCTCACAGTCACTTTTATCCTTGAATTAAACACGTACTTCCTTGACAAAGAGAAATATATAATTTACAATTTCAAGTATACAGGTCATACAAACGGACAGCACATTCCAGACCACAAAATCTCTACTTGGCTGAAGAGCAGAACTTTTGGCAACATATATACCCATCTTTATTATCTGCACTGTTTTGTTTATGTGTGCTGACGCGCTCCTAAGTACCTGTTTGTGCCAAGCTTCCAAAATCTGGCTGGCTGGGCAGTAGCTTGTGGTCTGCTTTATGCATAAAAGGGCACTTGTCACTCATCTGCCTTGATGTGGAAGAAATAACAACAGTGCTGCATCAGAAGCAGTGGGGAAATTGCTTTTGTTGTGTTAGCACCTTGTGTGCTTCACCTCTGTGAAGTTTGCTTTGCCAGCAAAGATAAAGCACATACATAGTTGTTGAATGAAGGAGGAGGCAGGAAGCAGTGCATTCATACACTGTGCACATTGTCTGCTTCATTTCATGATTTTGGAGAGCCTTATATTGCTTTTCTCCTGCAAGAAGTTGTGCTTACCATTAATGGAATTAATAATTAAACTGAGGAGTTGTACTAGGACACAATTTTCAGTGGCTAGGTGTATAACTGAGCAAATAAGGGAGTCAGTGTTGCTGGCAGTGGCACTGGTGAAGAATACACACACCAGGGTGTGTGTTTTGGTTTGGCCAGCACCAGAAGCACCGTG